CGGCTGCTACTCTGAAACCTAAAATTTTACCAACAGTTTTCTTCCATTTTGTCACCAATTCTGCTAATAACACCGCAAACCATCCAAACCTACAGAATTTTCAACATCCAATTTACCTTCCAATTTTCTTTCTATTGTTAGTTTACTATTTTTCACTTCTCTCGGTTTGGATTATGAAAATCAATTAAGTCAGTTTCAGGTTTATTTTATAGCCCTTTGCTTCAATGTACAATGGCAAATCCTAGAGGAGAGTTTTTATTTGTTTAATGACTGTTTCCTTTGAAATTCAAAGACATATATAATGGACATAGGTTTTATGAAAGGTAGTTTTGTTTGTTTGGATCTTAAATTATACATTTTTATGTTTAGCTGAATGATAAAGCAGTGTATTCCTTCAGGGTTTAGGATCTGAAAAATATCACTGCATGACTGTTTAAATTGTTTCCTAAGGACCAGACTGGATGCCTCTTACTCATATTGGTAAATTCACTCACTCAAGGTGTCCTGTTGGCTGAAATATGAGTACTGGTGAGAGTAACTTTTTATCATTGTGACTAAAGGAAGTTACAATCTGGTTTAAGTGATGTCTTCATCCACACATGTTAAGGTTAGCCTGTTGTATCATCCCTGCAGTGTAGTCTTTCTCTTGTCCTCTATTTTTAGTTGTGGATAGCACCTGGAAGAGATGCATAAAAGAAGAAAACCCCACAAATCAATCAGTGATGGAGGCAGTTGGTTCTCAGAGTCAGAGTTTGACATGGAAATGTGAACAGATGATATTAAAAAGGCAATATGGGATATATAGGGCGATACAGGGTAATCTTAGTGCTTCGAGAAGAAGGATAAAGTGATTCAGTGGAGTGGCTCTAAGAGTTTTAATTACCATTTGGAAAGATTTATTTCACAAGGAATAACTTTTAAAATGATATAAGCCTGTATTAGATGTTGTCTGCACAAGTGAATTTTAGGAAAACATTCCCGCCAGTTCTGTCACCAGTTTACCATCTTTTTTTAGCAGCTTAAACCAGGAACATGGTGGTAAAAATGCCAAAGCCACTGGAGCCTTGGATTATACTGAGTTCCCACCAGCCCTAACCCTGGTAGAAATTCTCTATTGTGTAGCCAGTTCAGAAGATGTAACGAAACCATCATTCTGTACTTTTTAAAACAGGATTTTTATTTTTTTTTTATCAGTGAAGTACCCATTTTGGCATGTGTCAGTTACATGCTCCTCCTTTCCGAGCTGGTTGATCATTCTTTTGGCCCAGCAGAGGAGTATTTTGCTCATTATTCTACCCTTCAGAGATCAGAAATGCAGGGCATTGACTTGTTGTGAGGACACCTTAACACACATGTACAAGGGCTGTATTTTCATGGGGAAACATCTGTTTTTGCTTGGGACGGTAAGGGTACAATTACACATGGCAATAATGAAACTGATCCTTGTTCAGCGCTTTCTATAATAGATACGCACCAGCTGCCAAGGGAAAAGCAGAATATCTCAGCATGCTTTCCAGACAGATAAGATTCCCCTTGGGGCTCCAAAACTCAGGCTCCTACTGCTGATGGTCAAAATAGCACTATGGCATCTCTGCCTGCAATTCCTAATGCTTAGCCAAGAATTCTATAGACACAAACACATAGTAAATAAAATGTCAAACTGCCTTGCTTAACGCTAACAAGCTTCCAATATGGAAAATGTGTATATTTTAAAAATGGCAATATGTGTGTTGGTAAAATGATAAAGTACATTAATAGCCATTTTTATTGAAGCTTTGCCTTCCTGATATAAGCTATGGGATGGATGTTTACTCATAAATTTAATCTGTAGGCCAAACCCTGGTATATTAAACATGTTACTATATAAGAAGATTGGCCCAATCATCCCATTATAGGGCCTTTGTGAATAGGGTTACTTACCAGAGTGTGTTTTGCATATGTGCATATGTAATAGATTCTGATAAACATTTTCTTTGAACACCACCACTATAGTGTAAAAGAGAATCATCAAATAAAGCAAATGGATTAATTAAACGAATGCAAGATTGTGTCTTTTTAGACACAGTGGACTTCAATTAAATACTAATAATCCCTACGTATTAAAAAATATATGTAGCAAGTACATTATTTCTAAATACAAAAATAAGTACAAATATCGTGGTTACCATTGGCTAACGGTTATAAGCCAATGTAGTGGACAAATGTAGAATTTTAGATACTGCGCTGGGAAAATGCCAACTTTTTAAAGGTAACCTCCATAGATTGCTGTATGCAGCAACATAAGAAAAGGCAGTTCACCTGAAGTTTTACTTCCTTAATCTTCCCCTCCATCCCTCTCCTGCACAGCACCCAATAGAGTGTTCAAGTGAGAAATGATAGGTCAGTTTGTACCTATATATATGAATAAAGACTAGAGGATGTATTACATCAACAAACCATGTTCTTCAAATTCTTTAAATATAATAATTCATTATGTATAGAAGCTAGCTCCAAACTGTGCCAATCACAGACCAGATGGTCCATATATTGGTGTCCTGCCAAGTTGAGGCCCTCTGGGACTCTGGGTTTACCACTAGGGCTTGGTGAAGTGTTCATAAAGAATAAATCAATGACTGTAGCTCTTTATTCTGTGTGAACAATTTCAATAAAAATAAGACCTGGGTAAATAATAAACATGTTACATGAACAGGTGGCCATGGATTGCTTTCCCACTATTTAAGTCTTTAGCGATTCTCTATTTGTTAATTGTGGCCTGTGAGTGGTGACCTTAATCAGATGATATCATTTCTGCTCCAGCTGGCTGATCAAAACAGTTATGAATGGAAGGAAAATGGATTCCAATATGGCCACACAAACACTTTTAGCATGAAGCTGCATACAGATTCACATGCAAATTCTTGCACAGAAAAAGAACTCATATAAAAGTTCACAGAAAACAAATAAATAGAGTTGATAGTACCTTTTGAAATGAGTGTTCATGAGCATATTTTTGCAATATTTGCCCAGATTATATTATTTTTTACACTTGAGATTCCCTGTCTTAAAGCCAAAGCATTTAATCTTAAGGGCAAACTCTTTTAAAAAATAAATAGAGTATAAATATAATATGAAGTATATGGTGATCTGATGAATAAAGTGTTCATAGGCATTGTCATGTGAAAATGGTAAAAAAGCATTCACTTTCTTCCAACACTGAACAAGGAACTTTATTAGAACAAGAAAAACAATAATATCTCTAATGATGCTTTCTCCCTCTTTGACTCTCAGCTTCACTAAAAATCTCATGCCTAAATCCTAAATCCCATTCCCTTCCTGTCTTTTTTTTTTTTTTGCTACGAATTTAAAAAGATACAACACATATCTTGACAGGCCATAAATGAGTTATGAAGATCATTGTAAAAGAATGCCAATAAAACCCATGTACCACACCATCATGCATTGTGCATATGCCACATATTTGTTCAAAACAACTATCTTAGAATTGTTTTACAAATATTATTCACAAAAATTTTCATACCTAACCACCTATAACTCCAGGCTCCCGTAGTGTAATGTTTGAAAGGGAAAATTAAAATGATTACCAATAACATTTTAGAAACCTCTAAAAAAAAAGACATGAAATAGCTTTCCCATAAATAATAAAGTCCCAGTTGTAGTGTCATTAATTCCAGGACAATCAAGAGATTCCCAGAGGGACACACATGGTCTGTGTAGCCCTTTGGGAGTCAAGGAATCTCCACTGGGGAAGGAGGAGGATCTGGAAAACCTTTGAAAGGAGATAAGGTGGCAAAACTAATCGGTTTCATTACAACAGTGGTGGATTATGCCAGCATCCACTTACAGGTTCACTTGTGGATTTTGAGTTCCTATGAAATGGATATTAAATTCCATTATAGCTAAGGACTATATTCTGTCCTCGTGTCCTGCATATCTTGTATTTTGTATCATGTAATTTGCATAAGAAAACCAAGGGTCAAATCCTTCTCTGAGTCCATCAGGTCTATGAGGAAACTGAGTGAGGTTTCTCTTGACTGGCATCAGTGTAAATACAAGTAGAATTTGGACCCCTATATTTAAGGTACATGCAACACATTTCTTCTGTCCTTAAGAAAGCATATGTATCTTGTGGACATCACTCCTGCTGTAGAAAGACACTGACTTAATTTCTCCTTAGAGCTAGCGTTTTTGTTTAGGCCTTAAGCTGACTAGCATTAAAGCCACTTACTGAAGCCAGATGAAGTGTGGAGCAAGATTTATACAGTGCAGTCCTTTTGCTAAAGGCCTGATTAAATCAAGAAACGCCTACATCTGTTTGTACATCTACAGTCTCATCAGGTCAGCCAGCTGGTAGCTTTGATTTTAGTCCATTTCTGTTGAGACAGCTTCTTCTCCAGGGGAATAAATAGGATGACAGAAGGTGCTAGAATGGAAAACTGACTGTTTCAGAAGCTCTGGCTCATAATATTGTGCTAGGAAGATTATCATTGTCCTTTCTATGGCCTTGATCCTGGATGTCTTTGCATGGTGAAGTACATTGTGTGTAAGGTTGTTGCCTTCTAGTACAAGTGTAGGCTTGGCATAAGCACCAGGCGTGTTAAACAGTAGGCAGAGCTCTTTGCATGGCCCCCTTTTCTACTTGCAACTACAAAGGGAAAAAAGAAGTGGGGCCCGAGAAGAGAATGAGTG